CAAACAAGTTTCTTCGATAATCATCTAGCCAGCAAAGAAATTCCTGAAACGTCTACATGTCATGTGCAACAGCACATTATCCTTCCACCATACATTTTTTTTTCTTGCACTACAACCTCGGTGGGCCTAGGCCTACCTCCATGAACTTCTCCGTTCACTTCGGTTTTTCTAGATCTTACACATTCGGTAGGACTCCTTGGGCGGGTGATCAGCTCGTCGCAAGGCCTCTACCTGTACACAAACACAGAAAAACGCACACACACAAACTAAACATCTATTCACCATACCGCTAACGAAAGTACAAATTCGAAAGGCAGAATTTATTCTTGTGTCGAACCGCATTCACATAAAATATAAGATCGCTGATATTTCTTTTCAGCTTCCGTAAGCACTCAGCCATGTTTTTCAATTGGAATCAGATGATCTTTGTATTCCATTCTGAATTCACATCTGGTTTTGGCTAAAGGATTTACAGTAATATTTATTCGTTTTGTTAACACGTATACCGCTTCATTGGTCTAGTGGTCAAAGTTCCTGCCTACAGATCAAGAGGTTCCGGGTTCGATGTCTGGCACTACCAGATTTTATGAGTAGTCAGTCTGGAACGGGGTCCACTCGGTCTCGTGAGGATAACTGAGGAGCCATTTCAAGGAAATAGCGGCTGCGGTCTAAAAAACCGAGATTAAGGTCCGTGGGGATCCGTTTCGCTAACCAAGTGACACCCTCTATCCGCAGAAGTTGGCACTAACTTCGCCGGGAAGAGGCTGTCGGTCGGTACAGTTCGCTTGCGGACTACAGTACACGGAGTTTGTTAGTTTATGTTAACACGTATAGCCTTTACAAAATATAAAACGAAATAATGTATCCGTTGCGAAAGACGCTGCTCAATCGCAAACAGAAAATTGCTATTGTAACAAAGTGGTCTTGCTTTTATTATTGTTCTTACCCCACTTTCGTCTCCCCCCCCCATGTTAGCTCCATTATCTGACCCCTGTCCGCGTCATATTTAGATGATTTTCGAAATTACGCAATATGTTAATTCTTAAGCCGTATTTATTTCCACCATATTTCGAACGTCAGTCAGTGATGTGCATTTATATGAGTGCATGCCGCGGTAAAATCATGGAATGAAATACTGTTGCGCGTCTGTGTTTCACGAGTACAGACGATTCTCTACTCAAGGAACATTCAAGAAACGAAAAACTGATATTTACGAATAATGCACGGACTAATAAATTCCGACTCAGAATTCTTCTTACCCTGCGCTCTTTTTTGAATGCTATTGGGGTGGGACTAAGTTCCTTGTGCTGCGGCCACCTCTGGCCTATTGTACCAGCCCCAGATGATAGGTGAGGGTGATTGTGGAGCAATCGCTGGAATGAAGATTGGCGGGGGAAACCGAAGTACTCGGAGAATACCTGCCCCAGCGCCACTTTCTCCACCATAAAACCCACGTGACCAGAACCGGGATCGAACGTGGGCCGCCGCGGTGGGAAGCCAGCGACTAACCGCTTGAGCTTCAACCCTGCGCTTACGAACATTGTAACAAATTAACATTAGCAAATTTAACGATACATCTTATGACAAAAGAAATACATTCAATTTCGAACACTGAATTTACGAACAAAATTCAATGAACACGTTATGTTCATAACGTGTGGTTCACCTGTACCTGGTGTATAATGGTTTTTATTCGTTATAAGAAAATGCCTGACAATGAGCAATTCAACAGATTTGCCTCATGACATGTCAAAGCACAGCGTCTCGCTCTAAAAAGATGGCCGATGATATGTGCACACGTATACTGCTAATTATTTTTTTTTGTGCAAAACGTACTTGTGTGAATAGGCCGGGAACTTGTTCACGTTCCGCATTCTCGTGTTTGGAGCGGGGTGTTTAGTGCAGTGTAATTCCGAGGCCTGCGAATTCTGAGCACGGCTTATGCTTCTTCATTTCATAATAACCTATACTATCTTTTGGCAGAAATTTTGATGTTCTCTCCAGTAGTTTCCCAGGCTTTATTAACATCTACCTCAGTGTCTAAGCTTTCCAAACCTGTGAACCTATTTCAGATTTCAACACGATACTGCTCCTTACCCTCTACTTCGTTTTATTTATTGAGACTGAACTTGTCCATATAAACTTTTTGTTTTTGCTTACCCATTGCCAGTCTTTCTTTAATCTTTTCACCACCAGGTACTGGTCAGTATCACAATCTGCTGCCCTGAATAACTGGACACCAAGTATACTTGAATGTCGTGTTCTATCTATCAAAATATGGTCAATTTAGCTGTGTCTTCCCATCAGGAGATGTCCAAGTAAATTTAAGAAATTACTATGTGGGAATGTAGTGTACTGAATTGAGCTTGGATGTAAGAAAGTGTGAGAACAAAGAAAACATGAACAAAAATTGAGTCAGTGTGTTTTGTCTTCTTTTGAAATTGGCCCCTGTGATGTTAGCATTCGTTGGTGACCTGTGGATCCTAACTGCAATATCTAGAGCGTTTCATCAAGTACAGAACTTGGAGGAAAGCGCCAAATCATTTATGAATAAGGGCCCACAAAAATAAACATGTGGAGTGGCGATACTGTTTTTGCCACATTACAAGTGTCAGCAAGATATTCAAGTTAAATACATGTGACTTCATTTAAGGGTATTCGGTCATGAAACTTGTACGTTTATTTTCGTGGACTCTCTATGTAAGTGAACCAGTGTTCATAATTTTTGTAATTACTCAAATTTTTCAGTTGTTTATCAGTCCATATGTAAGTGGTACTGTATT